CTTTTGGAGTTAATCTCCAATTTTATTCCACTGTGGTCTGAGAGAGTATTTGATATAATCTCAATTTTCTTAAATGTATTTAGATTCATTTCATGGCCTATCATATGGTCTATCTTGGACAGTGTTCTATGTGCCAATGAAAAGAATGTATATTCTGCAGTTGTTGGGTAGAATGTTCTGTAAGTATCTGTTAAGTCCATTTGTTCTAGGATATAATTTAAGTCCATTGTTTCTTTGTTGACTTTCTGTCTTGATGGCTTGTCTAGTGCTGTCAGTGGAGTACTGAAGTACCCCACTATTGTGTTGCAATCTATCTCATTTCTTAATATCTAATAATTGTTTTATAAATTTGGGGGCTCCCATATTAGGTGCATATATATTTAGGATTGTGATATTTTCCTGTTGGACTGATCCTTTTATTAATATATAATGTCTCTCTTTGTCTTAACTGTTGATGCTTTAAAGTCTATTTTGTCTGATAAAAGAATAGCTACTCCTGCTTGTTTTCATTTGCATGGAATATCTTTTTCCACCCCTTTACCTTAAGTTTATGTGAGTCCTTATGCATCAGTTGAGTCTCTTGAAGACCGCAGATACTTGATTGGTGGATTTTTATCTATTCTCCCATTTTGTATCTTTTAAGTGGAGCATTGAGGCCATTTACACTCAACATTAGTATTGAGATGTGAGACTGTTTTATTCATCATGCCACTTGTTGCCCGATACTTTTTTTCTTTTTCATTGTTTTATAGGCCTGGTGAGATTTATGCTTAAGGAGGTTCTATTTTGGTGTATTTTGAGTTTTGTTTCAAGAATTAGAACTACTTTTAGCATTTCTTGTAGTGCTGGCTTGGTAGTGGCAAATTCTCAGCATTTTGTTGTCTAAAGACTTGGTATCTTTGCCTTCATTTACGAAGCTTAGTTTTGCTGGATACAAAATTCTTGGCTGACAACTATTTTGTTTGAAGAGGCTAAAGATAGGACCCCAATCCCTTCTGGCTTGTGGGGTTTCTGCTGAGAAATCTGCTGTTAAACAGCTCTTAAGATTCTTTCCTTTGTCTTTAGATAACCTGATGACTGTGCCTGATTATCTTTTTGAAATTATTTTCCCAGGTGTTCTTTGAGCTTCTTATATTTGGATGGCTAGATCTCTAGTGAGGCCAGGGAAGTTTTCCTTGATTATTCCCTCAAATATGTTTCCTGAACTTTTAGATTTCTCTTCATCCTCAGGAACACCAATTATTGTTATGTTTGGCCATTTAACATAATCACAAATTTCTTGGGAGGCTCTGTTCATTTTGTAAATTCTTTGTCTTTGTCGATTGGGTAAATTCAAAAGCCTTGTCTTCAAGTTCTGAAGTCCTTTCTTTTCTACTTGATTCTGTTGTTGAAACTTTCCAGTGAATTTTGTATCCTCCAAGTGTGTCTTTCATTTCCAGAAGTTGTGATTGTTTTTTATTATATCTATTTCTCTGGAGACATTTTCATCCATATCTGTATTAAAAAATTGATTTAAGTTGGTTTTTACCTTTCTCTGGTATCTTCTTGAGTAGGTTAGTAATCAACCTTCTGCATTATTTATCTGGCAATTCAGATATTTCTTCTTGGTTTGGATCCATTGCTGGAGAGCTAGAGTGGGCCTTGGGGGGTGCTATAGAACCTTATTTGGTCATATTACCAGAACTGCTTTTCTGATTCCTTCTCATTTGGGTAGACTGTTTCACTGGAAAAATCTAGAACTCAAAGCTGCTGGTCAGATCCTTTTGTCTCACAGGGTGGTCCCTTGATGTGGGGTGCTTCCCCTTCTCCTAGTGATGGGGCTTCCTGTGAGCCAGACTGCAGTGATTGTTATTGCTCTTCTTGGTCTAGTCACCCAGCAGGGCTACCAGGCTTTGGACTGGTGCTGGGGAATGTCTGCAAAGAGTCCTGTGATGCAATTCATCTTCAGGTCTCCCAGCTGTAGATACCAGCACCTGCTCTGCTGGAGGTGGCAGGGGATTGAAGTAGACTTGTGAGAGTCCTGGTTGTAAGTATGTTTAGTGTGCTGGCTTTCTTAAGTGCTTTATGCTAGCAATGAAGTTGCCACCATGGACAGACTCAGGACCACTGTTTAGCCAAGATGCTGGAGGCAGTAGAATTAGCTGCTGTTTTTTCCTTCCTTGGAGCAGGGGATCTGTCATGAGTTGTAATGTCCTGAGTTGGTTGGCCTCCAGCCAGGAGGTGGCGCTTTCAAGAGAGCACCAGAGTTTTTCACCTGTCTCTCAGAATTTGCAGTGACCTGCTGCTTCTTTCCAAGTGTCTGTGAATTCTTTCACTTTTCCTGGTATGCTCCTGTGGTGGTTCCTGGAGCAAAAGTCCATGGTATGACTCTCCACACGCTGTTCTGTCTGTGCAGGTGGGAGCTGCATGTAAGCCCTGTCTCCTATCCACCATCTTCCCTTCAAAGTATTTATATGTAAATAGAATAGGTGAACAGAATCTAGATCCAGATGCAAATCTGGGATCCATTCCCTGCCTGTTGCGCTTCCACTTCTTCAGGAAACAAATTCTCTGCTCTTTAGCCCCAAACCTCTGCCATCATGGCAGTGCCCATAGGGATACTCTCAAGAAATTTTTGCCCAGACCCATGTCTTGGCGATTTTCCCCAATGTTTTCTTGTAGTAGTTTCATAGTTTGAGGTCTTAATTTTAAGTCTTTAATCCATTTTATTTGATTTTTTTATCTGGTGAAAGAGGTCTAGTTTCATTCTTCTGCATATGGATATCTAGTTTTCCCAGCACCATTTATTGAAGACACTGTCTTTTCCCCAATGTATGTTCTTGGCAGTTTGTTGAAAATGAGTTCACTGTAGGTGTGTGGATTTGTTTCTGGGTTCTCTATTCTGTTCCATTGGTCTATGTGTTTTTCTTTTTTTTTTTTTTTTGAGACAGAGTCTTGCTCTGTCACCCAGGCTGGAGTGCAATGGCGCAATCTCGGCTCACTGCAAGCTCTGCCTCCTGGGTTCACACCATTCTCCTGCCTCAGCCTCCTGAGTAGCTGGGACTACAGGCACCCACCACACTGCCTGGATAATTTTTTGTATTTTTAGTAGAGATGGGGTTTCACCATGTTAGCCAGGATGGTCTCGATCTCCTGACCTCGTGACCTGCCTGCCTCAGCCTCCCAAAAGGTTGGGATTACAGGCGTGAACCACTGTGCCTGGCCCTATGTGTCTGTTTCTATACCAGTACCATGCTGTTTTAGTTACTATAACTCTGCAGTGTAATTTGAAGTCAGGTCATGTTCTTTTGTTCTTTCTGCTTAAAATAGCTTTGGCTGTTCTGGGTCTTTTGTGGTTCTGTATAAGTTTTAGGATTGTTTTTTCTATTTCTGTGAAGAATATAATTGGTATTTTGATAGGGATTGCATTGAATCTGTAGATTGCTTTGGGTAGTATGGCCATTTTAACAATATTGATTCTTCCAATCCATGAACAGAAAATATTTTTCCATTTTTTTTGGGGCCCCCTCAAGTTCCTTCAAATGTTTTACAGTTTTCATTATAGAGATCTTTCACTTCTTTGGTTAATTCCTAGGTATTTATATTTGTGGCTATAAGTGGGATTACTTGTTAATTTTTCAGATTGTTCACTGTTGGCATATAGTTTCACTGTTGGCATATAGAAATGCTACTAATTTTTCGTGCAACTTTACTGCATTTATTAGTTCTCACACTTTTTTGTGGAGTCATTAGGTTTTCTAAATATATCATCTGTAAACAAGGATAATTTGACTTTTAATATTCCAATTTGAATGCCCTTTCTTTTGTCTGATTGCTCTAGCTAGGACTTCCAGTACTATGTTGGGTAACAGTGGTGACTCTGTGTTCCAGATCTTAGAGGAAAGGCTTTCAGTTTTCCCCTATTCAGTATGATACTAGCTATGGGTCTGTCATATATGGCTTTTATTATGTTGAGGTATGTTTCTTCTATCCCCGGTTTGAGGGTTTTTATCATGAAAGAACATTGAATTTTATCAAGTGCTATTTTTGCATCAATTGAAATGATCATATGGTTTTTATCTTTCATTCTGTTAATATGATGTATCACATTGATTTGTGTATGTTGAGCCATCCTTGCATCACATGGATAAATCCCACTTGGTCATGATGAATAATCTTCCTAATGTATTGTTGAATTTGGTTTACTAGTATTTTGTTGAGGATTTTTGCATCAATATTTATCAGAGATATTGGCCTATAGTTTTCTTTTCTTTTTTTAATGTGTCTTTGGTTTTAGTATCAGGGTAATACTGGCCTCCTCCATGAGTGTAGAAGTACTCCCTCTTCCTCTATTTTTTTGGAATAGTTTGAGTAGGACTGATACTAGTTCTTCTTTAAATGTTTGGTAGAATTCTGCAGTGAAGCCATCGGGTCCCAGGCTTTTCTTTACTGGGAGACTTCTTATGGCTTTGATCTCTTGCCTTTTTACTACTCCTTGTTACTAACAGTGAAAGTCTTTAGAAACCTTAAGAGAGCTCTGTTTTAGGGACAGAAGAACTGAAGAAAAGCTGGGAGAAAACATTGCTTTCTCAGTGGATCAGGGAGCAGAGAAATTCTAGTCAGGTAGAATAAAAGACTTGCTATTGGTCTGTTCAGCTTTTAGAGTTCTTTCTGGTTTAGTCTTGGTAGGCTGTATGTGTCTTGGAATTTGCCCATTTCTTCTAGATTTTACAGTTTATTGGCATATAGTTACTCATCATCTAGCTTTTCAATAAGGGATTAAAACAATGATGACTCATTGTTGCAAGCAAGACTCTGATAGATTTTGCCCATACTGATAAAAGGCAAGGCTAATCCCTCTCAAACGTAAGAGTAACTGAAATGAATATTCTAGCTGAGCAGATACAGCCTACATGCAAATGAATAGAACATCTTTAGTCTCCTACAAGAAAGAGAGCTTATTTTTGTCCTGTGCAAGGACGATGTCTGTAAGTATGCTGAATGATTACCTGTCTTTCTAGACCAATCCTGGAATGGTCCCCAGCCATGGATTCAGTCCCAGATCTTATTTCTTTGACAACCCTCGAAGATATGACAGTGATGATGACCTTGCCTGGAACATTGCCCCTCAGGGACTTCAGGGAGGGTAAGACCCTACTTCATGTTAGACAAGCCTCATTAGGAGGGAAAGGTTACACCAATGAAACAGATTCAAGCTAAAAGAAAATTCCTACATTAAAACTGTGCAGCCTTAGGTGGTATAAGACTGGATTATCAGTAGATCATTTTACTTATGGGAAACATTCAGGAATGAGAAAGGACATCAGATTTTTTTTAAAGCCCCACAGCATTATTGTATACAGTAGTGTTTCCTAAACAATATTCCATGAAGCACTATTGTCTTAATAGCTATGCTGTGCAAAAGGAATGATGATTTAAAAAGAAAATGACCTTTTTTATTTTTTGGAGACCAGGTCTCGCTCTGTTTCCCAGGCTGGAGTGCAGAGTGGTGCGATCTCGGCTCACTGCAACCTCCCCCTCCCAGGTTCAAGGAATTCTCGTGCCTCAGACTCTTTAGTTGGGATTACAAGTGTGCGCCACCACGCCCAGCTAATTTTTGTATTTTTAGTAGAGACGGGGTTTCACCATGTTGGCCAAGCTGGATTGCACTCTTGGCCTCAAGTGATCTGACCACCTTGGCCTCCCAAAGTGCTGGGATTACAGGCGTGAGCCACTGCGCCTGGCCAGAAAATAAACTTTTTAGAAAATGCCAAGAGAGCCCGTAATATGCTAATGTGTGCTCTGAATCTCCAAGAGGGAAATATAGCACTTGTCTATGGAATCACTCAATGGAACATGGTATCTTTAATCACATATTCTAAAGCTAGAGAGTAAATGCAGTAGTATTTATTTATTAGAATAAATTATATATTATAAAGGACCAAGTTTTCAAATTTGAACGATGTCAGTTCTCAATTTAAAATTTCAGTTACATGAAGGGTATTTACTTTAGTCTTAATTTTCATGAATACTTATTCAATAAGTACTTCTACAGCATCTACTCTGTATCAGACACTGTTCTAAGAGATACACAAATATCAACTCATTTAGTCTTAACAGTCCTGAGAGGTCAGTACTATTATTAGCCTCATAATACAGATGAAACTGAGGTATCCAGAGGGTAGGTAACTTGTCCAAGGTCACAGTTAGCAAGTGGTTAGGCTAGAATTCTAACTCAGGCAGTCTTGTTCAAACCTGTTTTCTGAATCACTATACTATGTAAACAGTTTGTATATAAGTACCCTGTCGCTTGGTCTCACCTATGCTTATGTTACACTTTCATATGAGTTTTAATAGGGAGAGTCTCCTTGCTTGAATCCACATGCAGATCTGGCCCAGGAAATTTGGAGAGGGCAGTTAAATACTAAGAGTTCAAAGCAGCATACATAGAGGGTGTAAGACAATACGTGAACCATACCAGTCTGCTGCCATTGCCTAATTTTCAATGAATTAGGAAGGCAAATAAAAAGAGGGAAGCACCTGAAATTGCAACCATAGCAGAGACCCACCCCAGGAGTCCAAGTTTTGCCTACCTCAGCATGGGCATGGTCTGCAAACAGGAAGGGTAGTAGCTATTGGGATTCCCTTCCCTTTTCCTCAGCCTGCTGTGCTCAGCCATCCTCCACTACCCGATGACTATCGTGTTTCCCTTTCAGCCTGTGGCTGTGAGACAGTGAGGCCAGCAAGGCCAGCAGGGGTGAGAGGAGCCAAAAGGGCTGCAGTAGTGCTTGCCGAGCCTGTCTTCTCTCTGCTTGTCCTGCCAGGACCCCCATCCTGTTCTTGGGAAAAGGGAGCTTCTTAGAAGTGAAAGCTTATCTTTTGTAATCTTTTGTGAGATTAAAGACTTAGCATTAACAACTTTACAACTTTTTCCCTCTGGGATGAAATGATAAAAAAGATATGCTTGCCTTTTTACGCCTTGTTAGTAACAGTGAAAGTCTTTAGAAAACTTTAAGGGAGCTCTGAAAAGAGCCCTTGTTTTAGGGACAGAAGTACTGAAGAAAAGCTGGGAGAATACATGCTTTCTCAGTGATCAGGCAGCAGAGAAATCCTGGTCAGATAGGATAAAAGATGGTGGCTGAGAAAGTAGAAGAAAGCTGCCCAATCCGCTGAGCCAGCAGATGTAAAGAATGTAAGCTACAAGCAAGCCAGCGAACAAGGAGGACTTCTTGAAGTCAAAAGCTGACCTTTGGGTCACTCCACCTCTTCCCTAAAACTGTTCTTTTCCAGTTACCCCACTGCACTTCCTGTTAGTTTTTTTGCCCCTTTAAACCCATATTCTCCTGGAGCTGTCCTGCCCTCTCACCTGCCAGAAATGACTTAGAGCTGAGGGAGTCCTCACTACCTATATCGGTGAAGAAAAGACCCCCTTTCTACTACATAGAGGAACATAATTATAACGAAAACGACTTACATGTATTGAGAATTAACTATATATTAGGTACTGTTCTAAACACTTTACAGGTGTTAACTCAGTCCCCACAATAGGCCCATGATGTAGTTACTAATAGTACTCCCATTCTAAGTGGAGGAAATTGAGGCACAGAAGTTATTTGTCCAAAGACACCACAGGTTGTGATCTGTACTCCTTGTTAGGATTCAGATACAGTTTGTTGCTAAAAACATTTCCTATACATAATAACTGGCTGGGTTCTCTAGTAATGCTATATACTTCTGTGCTCTAAAGAGTTCAGTAGAGTTGTGGGTGGGCGTTTAGTCCTGTGTGTAGCATTGTTTTCTAGGAAAATGGACTTCAAGAGCCATTTTAAAGAACTTTAGAGTTATCTACAGTTTGTGTAAAATCTCAGCTCTGTCTACCTAAACTAGACATGTCGTACATACTGTAATGTTTCAAGTCACTGAAATATTTTTTTCTTTTTAAGTTTTGCTCCAGATTACTATGATTGGGGACAACAAACTAACAGCTTCCTGGCACAAGCAGGAACGTTGCAAGACTCAACTCTGGATCCTGACAAACCAAGCGTTGGGTAGCATCAGTTAAGTTTTATGGACGATTGCTCAGATGAAGAGCTTCAGAAAAGTGTAGTGACCGCTGAATTTTTAGGGCACTTTTCCTTAAGAAATAGAACTTGATTTTTATTTGTTACAGGTTTCCAGATGGCTCCAGAGGACTAAGCAATAATGTAGATTGATAAACCCTTATTTTAGTACTAAAGAGGGAGCCTTGCTATTTCAGTGGGTATAATTTAAACTTTTTAAAGAAAATCTGTACTTTTATAAAGATGTATTTTATATAACTTAAATAATAATGCTAAAGCATACTAGGGTTTTTTTTTTCTTGAGAATGTTACTGCAATTATGTTGTAGTTTGCACAGATTTTTATGCATAATTCACTTTAAAAATATAGAATATATGGTCTAATAGTTTTTTAAAGCTTTTGGACTAAAGTATTCCTCAAATCTTACCTCTTCAGGTCACTGATGGTCACTCCGATTCTGAGTGCCGCATTGGTAGACTCCTAAAATACAATTGACAACTTAGCCAATTGCAACTCCAGTGTTGATAGTTAAAATGAAATAGAATAGCAGCAGACTGTAAGGTCTTTAGAGATTTTTTTTTAAGGTTCAGGCAATAGGTCCCTCAGAGAATCTCTTAAGGTTTGCCCAAAGATTGGTACTTCCTTTCAGTAGGGCGCTAATGTATACACATTAATGATAACAAGTTGATAACATTAAAAATGTAGCTGACTTATCCTATTAAACCTCCTCTGCTATATTCACAGATTCTGCATAGTTTTTCTTTCAGCCTAGAGGGCTACATCAAGAGTATACCCTTTTCCCAACTCACTGAATGTTGATTACATTCAAGGAGAAAATAAGAGGTTCCATAAAGGGCATTAATAACAAATACCCCAAGCCCCTAAGCTAAGACTGTGTGGAATCCTTAGTTTTTTCTGTACTCTCCAACTATATTTAAAATAATGCCCTTACTTCTAAATAGCTCTGTAAAGAGCCTGTTGGAAGCTGCACATTTAAAAATGGCAATAGTACTGCAATATGCTGGAGCATGATGCCTGTCAGCCATGTAAAGGGTATGTTCCAGACAAGTCCTTAAGTCATCTTTCATTTAAGTAAAAAACATGTTATGAAATACTGCCTCCCACACCAGAAGTGCCATTCTAAAAACTCCACTGTATATATACTGGAGCCATAAAACTACCTATTGGGAGGCTAAGTGCTCTGCTTTTCTATAAAACAGAGATAAGGTTCTAGAGGAAGTACTGTTACCAGAAACAAGGTACCTTTCTGCTATGCCTAGGAATGTTCATCTGGGGACAGAGGGAAGGGCCAATGAAAAGGAACTTACATTAACAAATCCTACTACATGATGCAACCCATTTCAAATGACTCTTCTCATTTTGATCTTCAGGAATAACTGATCCCTGGGCACTGATTTCACAGAGATGAAGTCTACTATTGTTTTGGTAGTATTTAAAATTGGGATCTCAAGTTTCAAATCGATCATCATTGGGCTTTTCATTTGTATAGAACACCTTTACTCTGTGTAATCGTACATAACATTCTTGTCTTTCAGTACATGAAAAAACTGGGGTTACAGCATTTAAAATAGTTGTCAGGAAAAATTCTACACTGAAGTGAACCCTACACTGTTACTCAAGTTGCCTTAACACATTATAAGCTATTATTCCAAATAGCTTTACCAGGTTATTGTGGTCACACTGTATTACTAATACTTGGGAGACTTTAAAGGCAGACTCAGCATGTTTTAAACTCCTTTAAGTCACATCTTCAGAAAGTCCTGGAGTCCTTCAGTATTAGGTCAGCTAAGGGAAGATATATTTTTTAAAACAGTGATAAGAAGTATCACTAATACCATACTCATCCTATAATAAGTAAACATAATTCTGTTGTTGCTGGCAGAAAAACTGGATACTCAGCATTAACTGATAAAAGTCAATCTACTTTTATGATGAAGCTACTGGGATTTATTTGAACTATTATTTTCGTTGGATAGTATAACAATGTTCTAAGTGCCCATTTTTCTCTAAGTGCCCATTTTTCTCATTCCCTCCCCCACTATTTTTTTTTTTGAGACGGAGTCTCGCTCTGTCGCCCAGGCTGGAGTGCAGTGGCCGGATCTCAGCTTACTGCAAGCTGCGCCTCCCGGGTTTATGCCGTTCTCCTGCCTCAGCCTCCCAAGTAGCTGGGACTACAGGCGCCCACCACCTCGCCCGGCTAGTTTTTTGTACTTTTTAGTAGAGACGGGGTTTCACCGTGTTAGCCAGGATGATCTTGATCTCCTGACCTCGTGATCCGCCTGTCTCGGCTTCCCAAAGTGCTGGGATTACAGGCTTGAGCCACCGCGCCCGGCCTCATTCCCCTTTTAAAAATGTAATGCTAAAATTTCTAGAAGTGTTATAAACACAGAATACAAAAAAAAACTATGATTGGTTACATCAAACTCTACTTCCCTCTTAGTAAGTAAGGAAAATTAAAATTCCCTTTGGCTTTCTAATTTACTTGTTCTGCTAGGTACACTAACAAAACTACTACTTATGGCTGGGCGCAGTGGCTCACGCCTGTAATCCCAACACTTTGGAAGGCCAAGGAGGATCATGAGGTCAGGATATCGAGACCATCCTGGCTAACACACTGAAACCCCATCTATACTAAAAATACAAAATATAGCCGGGCGTGGTGGCGGGCGCCTGTAGTCCCAGCTACTCAGGAGGCTGAGGTAGAAGAATGGCGTGAACCCGGGAGGCGGAGCTTGCAGTGAGTGGAGATTGTGTCACTGCACTCCAGCCTGGGTGACAGAGCAAGACTCCGTCTCAAAAAACAAAAAAAAAAAACTACTTATGTGGAATATTGAATGCTAAGAGGAAAAGAATGGTGATTACTGGTTGCAGAATACCCAAATGTTCATTTGTTTTAAAGCAACACGATGAAATTAAAGCCCTGATAATTTGAAAGTTAAAGTGTATGGGGAAGAGGGAATCACTAAAAATGTTGTACCATCATTTAGCTAAGTCTGATGCAACACTGAAAAGTTTCATGGGAATGTTTCTGGGTAACTGTTGGAAATAGTTTCTCTGACTATTGGAATAGGTGTCTACCTCTGCAGTTAATTATTTAAGAATATTGTATAGATATTTTTCATTGGCTCTTTATCCTTTTTACAATGAACTCAGTTGAGCTGCTGATGAAAACATCTAGAGTATGTTACACAGAGCTGTGACTGTAAGAAGGTTTGACTATTACAATATACACATCAATTGTATTTATGCCAATTCTCTCTTGAATGTATCAGGCAAATTAAAAGCTTTGCTGGTTAAATTTAGCTGCTTAGATCAGGCACACTCACTAATGCCTCCTCAAATTTCCTTTCACCAAAATCCAAGTCAACTGCTCTTTGTTGACCTCAGTGCTGGGCCAACACCTAGTTGAACACTTAAACCTTATTAAGAAGAAAGGAATACATAATAGTAAACCCTAGAACTTGAGAAGCGCTGTTAGAAAAAGGTTCTCATTTTTATATATCTCATTATATGGTGTATATTACTTGCTTTTAACAGTAAAGGTAAACTTATATTAGAACTAAATGGGTCTAAATATTTGAAACTTTTATCGAGATTTCCAACTAGACAAACTTTATCTAAAAAATACCACTCTTTCACTTTAGATTGTTGCATGATGAAGAATAGACTAGCATAGATCTGATCAGAGACACATCTAATATGCATTCCCAGTTTTCATCTTATGTGAGAATTGTATTAAAGGACATTTCTAACTGTATATCATGCTACTTCAGACATGGGTCCAGATGGAGGAGCTGCTGAAAAGGATCAGGCTAAAATTGTGGAATTCTTCTCATCAAAAAGATTCAATTAACAAACCGATTAAAGTGAGGAAACACTGAACAAGGAACAGTGAGGGTAAGAGAGTGGGATTCAATCTCTATTGAGTACCTATTATATGTGAGACGCTGGGCTAGGCACTCGTCACGTTTCTGTGGATCCTAGTCTATACTCAGGAACACCCACATACTGACGTTACTCTAGGCCCTTAGCAAGGATACATGAAGAACTCTTGCACCAAGGGTCAAAATAAGTTGAAGTCTTCTGAGGATGTCCTTGTGCCCATAACCTAGATCTGTGTCAGAGTCCCTGTACCTGCTGCCCGGTTCCTGTGGGCCAGGGCACTGATACTACATTCATTCCGTGTGGAGTTCTGAGATTGGCTGCCCAGGTCATTAATTATGGGTTCAGGGTCAGGGTCGTAAGATCTAAATCCAGTGACTCAGCAACTCCTAATGACAGGTTCCTCCAAGTCTGGATTCTCTACCTCTAGCCCTTGAGCTATGGCTGGGCCCCGTCTTCTGTTTTCTCAAACTGATTAACATCTTGCTAATACTAATTCTCTAGCTCCAAACTTGGTCTGCCCTTTTGGACCTTGGATGCCCTACCATTCAAAATATTAGACTTTCTATGTCCAGAACAGATTTTCTGCCCCTGAACTTAAGTGGAGATCAGATGCCTATAAGATTCTCAAAATTGCCCCCTTTTTCTATTGATTCCTGTTACTATGACCTTTTTCCCATCTCTCACTAACCTACAACAGTCCCTCCAGTCTCTTGTCAGGCCCAAGTTACAGTGCTCCTTGAAGGGATTAAATGAAGTATATAAAACATGCATTTATCCTAAACAAATAGTGCTTTACCAGGGCCATTAAATATGTGTAACTTAGTATCCTTTGAGCGCTATCTCCTTGGTGAATTCACTAGCCCAAGAGTCTGGGCTCTAGGTTTGCAGGTTTAAAGCTCATCAAAGGGAACAGAACACTCATGCATTTGGAGGTATATTCTATGAAGGGAAGCCATAGTGGAAGTTAAATGATACCAGAGTGTTGCTTGGAATGTTAACTCCGCTCTGACCAGTGTTAGGGGAATGACTTTAATTGATTAATAGCATCAATCTATGACAATCTGATGGCATTGTCAAGACAGCATTAAGATTCATTCACATTGAGGACACCTTCTGCACTAGATAGGTGTCTAGTTGGCCATTCCCTTTTGGTTGATGTATTTTTTTCTTTTGGTGCATTCTCACTATAATCTAGTTAGGTTATAATGTCTAAGTTATATGATGGTAGGAATGTTTGTCTGTTTTGTTCACTGCTGTAGTCCCAGCTCCTGTAACAGTGAATGAATAGTCAAATCCTGGTTTTTGGTAGATGTCTTTTTTTTTTCCCCCCACAGTAACTTGTTGCACTTGTACTTTTATCCACATATTGATTTTACAAGTTTAGTGCTCTTTTAAGGGTTCCTCCCTCTTGTCTTATGAATCTTTGACAGATACCCAACTTTTGGGCAAATAATTCATAATGGAATAAAAAATGAAATAGGGATTTTACATGAAAACAGTCCTTAAATCATTCCTAGAGACTATCTTAAAATAGAAGCACTGAGATGACATTCTGTCCACACAGGCATTGCCTCCTGCCTCTATCTGCCATCATCTGTTTGGGCACTGCCAAATAGAACACTGTAATAATTTAAAAGTAATAAAAAGTATATCTTTATCAGGTAAAGTATCATAAGAACAGTGACAAAATAAGTGGTTAAAAGTGCAACCCTTGGGAGAGAACTTGAGTTGGACAGTTTTAATATGCTCTATATGTTAAGAATTTTTTAAAGCTCATACGGAAAAATAAACAAGAACAGTTAGAAAAACTGTATTAAAAAAAAGGTGGTGGGAAGAATGAGGGAGAACCAGTGCACTAGATTAAAATTAAAGCCTGGGTAATTAAAACAATGTGGTACTAGTGCATGACTAAACAGACCAGTGAAATAGAAACAGAATGCAGATACAGAGCTAAATATATATGAGGATTCTACGATAAGATCCATGTAGCCTCTCAAATTCATCAGGAAAAAACAAACAGTTCAATAAATAATAGTGGAACAACTGGGTTAATCACCTGTGGAAAAAATTAGGTTAGATCCAGAATGTACTTCAACAGTTCAAAATTTAGATGTAGAATTTAGGTGAATTATTCTATTGCTCTGGATTGAGAAAAACATTCTAATTATGACTCAAAATCCAGGAACCACTAAAAAATTGGTAATTCAGACTACATAAAAAATTTTTAAAACTCATGACAAAACCATTATAAGCAAAAGACAGATGACAAATTGGAAAGAAAATATTTGCAACTCATTACTGTCAAAGGGTTCATATCCCTAACAAATAAACAAATAACATATCAACGATATAGTAGAAAAATGGATAGGAACAAAATAATATGGGAACACAAAAGGAAATACAAATGGCTCCTAAACATATTAAAAGGTGATCAACCTTAGGCATCATAAAAACGTACATACTGAGCAGTCAGGTGTGTGCTGTGCACCTATAATCCAGGCTATTCAGGAGGTTAAGGCTGGAGGATCACTTGAGCCCACGAGTTTGAGGCTACGGTGAGCTATGATCATACCACTGCACTCCAGCCTGGGTGATAAGGTGGGACCCTGTCTCTTTTTTAAGGAAAAAAAAAGGAAAATAAAAGAATGTACACATTGATATATATTTTCATCTATCAGAATGGCCAGAATCCAACATTTTAATAACACATTTATTGGTAAAGCTGCAGGTTAGCAAGTGCTATCATACATTTTAGATGGTATGTGAATTGATGACTACCCCTATGAAAGACAATATGCCAGTATCTTTCAAAATTATAAATGCACAGTCTTTGCCCCCAAAATTCTTATCTTTGGGAATGTATTCTGCAGGTACAATATTTATATAAATGTGAAATGACGTATGTACAAGGTCTGGAAACAACTGAACTGCCCATTAATAGAGGACTGGTTAATTCAACGCTGGCACATTCACATAATAGACTACCAAGCATCTACTTAAAAATGAGAAAACTATCTAGTCATATGTGAAGACTGCCAAGAAATACTAGGTGAAAAAAATGAAATATTATGTATATGATGTCAATTTTTGAGTAAAAATGAGAGAAAAACATAAGACTTTCCATTTGTTTATGTTTGTACATGTCTAAAACAGTGTGAATGGAAACCTAAGAAACCAAGAACACAGGTTATTAATGGTAGGAGATGTGTGTGCAGTGTAGGAAGCTGGGCCAAGGATAGAAGGAAGACATTCACTGAGTAACTTTTTCTATTGTTTGTTTCTTTTAACCGTGTGAATGTATTACCTATTCAAAAAAATTAAATAAAATAAGCATATTTTATAAGCTTTATGATTCAATACAAATCAAACAATGCTTTTAATAGTTCCCACTTTGTAGCTGAATGGTAAAAGGCCAACTTACAAAACATCACAAAGTTTCTAGAATCAGTCTTTCTCGTCTCAAATTCTTGCTACACAACCTAGAATTTGTGATTATGGACAGGTTACTTAGCCTTTTTTATCCTCAGTCTTCTCACTTACAAAACAGAGAAGTAATTGTACCTACCTACTAGTGCTGTTGTGAAGATCAACGGTGTATTTATTTAAACCCCAACTATGCATGTGAAAGCCCTTCACAGAGTGCCAGCCAATGCTTGCCATTATAAGAAACAACCTCAGACTACTGATAAATACATCTCCCTTCTCCGCAGGTTACAATCAAATCCTCATGCCATAAAAGGAAACACTTAAAATAGGGGGAAAAACAAGACAGAAAAGATTGCAGAAACATGTACTTTAATTCACATTTTCTAGATTATGGTGGGTACAACAGTAAATTATTTGGAATTCTGTTCAAAAATCAAAGCTTCACCTGTAGATATTACTTAAAATACAGTACACAAGATTTGTGTGTGTTTTGTTTTTGTTTTTTTTTACCAAATAATTTCCATGATACCATGTACCTAATCTGCGTATTTTGGTGAGTAGCTATGGTTTCTGCAGGTACTTCAGTTTGCAAACTACTGAGAGGTTTACTGTGAACTGTTCCCAAATTTTCAACTGAAGGCAATGCTGATGAAGATCAAAATAGGTGTCCTTTCTTAATTGTGGCACATAGGCAAAGTTGAAAAGTATGGCATAGAGTTTCATATACATACAGAGGATAAAAATAATCGAATAATTCACAATGTTAAAAATGTCAAAACGTTTTGACTTATCAAATTTTAAAACTGTGGAGTCTATTACTATTCTGTCTGATCCTCCTCATAATCTAAGAATCAAAACAGGAGAAACATTCAAAGTTTACCAATTTTAATACATAGTTTGTCTAACTTACATAGATGCCACTTAAGTAAAAAATAAACTTATGCCATTGAAGGAAGGAATATTTTCCTTTTCTTCATTTTCATTACTTCATCAGCAGGTACAATCATTTCTGTCAGTTATATTATCAAGTGCTGAGTTTTTAAATTAGGTGTTGAGATAAAGACAAAATGCCAAGAGCACCAGCAAAGCATTTTCACAATGCAGACAGTACTCTAGTATAATATCACTTCACAACAAAAGATGTGAATTGGAAAAACAGTTTATATCACAAGAACCATAAAATGTCACAATCATTTAAGAAATAAAACACATACACAAAAATGTAGGCTGCCCCCTACAATCTAATTTATGATAAAATAAAGTTAATCAAAATGAATTTCAGCCTAAGAATACTTCATTTATTTTCTTAGTTGTGAAAAAATTAGTTAAGAACCTTAAAAAGAACTTTCTACTCTAACTAGATCTTTTAATTTCCTAGAACATTCTCTAATATACTAGTTTTCCTAAGCTTGAAACAAATCACAGTACAGAAAAAAATAAATAAATGGACATGAGCAAGGATTTTCTCTAGTAAACAGTTTAAATAATAGCCTTTAACTGAGGGAAGGGTGAAATAACACTATCAAAAAGTTCTTTATAGTTAATAAACAAAGTGCAAATTTTTCACATCTTAAAACTCTGAATACTAAGAATAATTCTTACTAATTTACTAAATTAATTGGATAGTCACTTTTTAGACAGTTTGCCTTAAGGCCCGCCCCCCCCCCACCATACAATACTTGTATCCCTCAAGAAAAAGTAGAGGAGGCTCCAATCAAGTCAGCCTTTTAAACAACTTAACAAAAAATATCACCACCATCAATAACAAAACCCCAAGTTTATAACGGTTTGAAATTAGGTGAGAAAATAAATAACTCTGAGACCTTAATGCCCCCGCCACATCCCACCGAGAGATGGCTAAGTATTTTTAAGAGGGGTGAGCCAAGCCAACTAAATACAATTTTTTAGATGTCACCAAATCATCAATGAACACATTTCAGACTTTGGCAGGATAAAATATGGATTTAAGAGCACTTATTCTTTAATTCAGAAAAGACTAAAGAGTCTAAGGAAAAACTCTAGATCTTGTACCTACATTACTTCTACACAGATGCAACTTTCCAAATTGTGTCTGCTGACATTTTTTAAAAATCAAGATTTTAAATATTGTTTAAAGATTTTAAATCCCAGATTTAGAAAATGACAGTTTAGGACTTAAGAGTCCTCTGTTGCTACGAATCACAGAAAGTACCGTTTATATACAGTGAAAAGAAAAGGTGAGGGGAGAGGAAGCTTAAAGGAGGGTTGACCTAATCTACCTTTTTATATATTCTGTCAGGGAAAAGCACACTGAGTTTGAGGATTGCATAGACTGTATTCTAAAATAAATCCTTTAAAAATGCTTACTTTAAGTGAAAATAGCAACTTTTGTGTATATAATATTTTCAGTTGGCATTATAAATTCATATAATCCCATTTAAATTTTATCAAGAAGTAATCTGTTAAATATTTCTGCAATGTTTTCTTTCTAAAAGTAACTGACAATTTCCAAAATGTCTTTGTCCCTAAAATTTCTAGGGGCAAAGAAAAGCAAAATCAAAAGGAGTTCTAAGTAAAAGAACACTCTTGGGCCAGCCCATGACACACATGAAATCTGGCTGGGTAGCATAGGGGCGAGGTCTTGTTCACCTTTATCAAAGCAGGTCCTTTAGACTGGAAACAGCAACAATAACAGCAACTAAAAACTGCAACTAAAAACCAGTGAAATTGAAGTCCTGGGGAATCTTAAGGAGTTTCTGTAACTATGTATTGAAAGGGCCATTCATCATGGTGACAGTTCCAGATTCTAGAAATATTATAATATTTCTTTATATTATAGAAAGTGACACACACAGAGTGAGGCAAGAGTAAAAACACATTAAAAAGCATTGATAATTTTTTTATCACTGACACCAGCCCTAAGCAACATTTGTTCCCTAGTTCTCCTTTTCCGTATCAGACTGTGAACAGTGTTATTAGAATGCAGACATAGCCATCTAAAGTTTGACAACTGGAAATAAAGGATAATAGAATAAAAACAAAACCAGTTCTAAGAAAAATAGAATTTCCAGCACATGAAAACACATGAAATTAAACACAGAATTAGTATAACTTACATGTTTTAAAAGTATATACTTCATTTATAAATATCTCTAGTTGATAATCTATTAAGAATCATAAATATTCAAGTGAGCATTTAAATTTTCTATTTAAGAGTTCAGAATTCTTGAAGTCAGACTAGTCTCTTTCTGCTGAATGTCCATAATTAAAAGGCTTTCCACAGTCACTTTATGTCTCTAGTTAGACACATAAAAGCCTTTATTACCTACTGTGTTGTAATAAGACTTTAAAATTCTGTAAGTCTCTTATACTTGTAGAAAGCCTGTAGAAGAAAGAAAAAGCATATTAGTAAAGTTAACATGATGCATACATATTTCAAATTATTGATATTGTTACATAAGCTATCATTTGAAAGCAAAATCTAAAACAAAAACCACCAAACACTGACGCTTCCATGTTTCAACGAGTATTCTCATTAAGATTGGTTTAGAAGGGGCAAAGGAAGCCTGTTACTTCATACTATCTGCAGACACAAGATTAATAATGGGAACAGTGATATGAATAATTCTTAATAAAGAATCTCAAATCATTTACGATTGGTCTAATAAATTTATTTTGCACATTTCTCTTCGAATGATTGCTCTTTACTCAACGTTGCCCAAACACACTAATCTGTCTTATGTTATCAGCTCCCTAAGGGTAGAGACTCTTACTCTGTCTCCTGTTGAGTCTCTCTCCTGTGCCCCATACCCACGGATGCTTCTAGTATTCAATAAATGATTACTGACTGATCAAATGAAGTGCTTCTCAGAACAGGCCAAAAAGTAAAACTCAGGGATGGGAAATATAAAAAAGTAATTCTAAAAGCTCAGTTATCCCTATGGACAATTCAGAGGTGATAGAAGAAAAGTCTTTAACTATTTGATAGAAGAAAAGTTATTCCTTAATCACTTAGGAGGACAGGCAATGTTCTAAGCCCATCACATATATGATCTCACTATCAGGAAACAAACTAGGAAAGCAATGATTTGCCTGAGTTCATACACTACTAAAGAGCAGGCCAGGATTCCAGAACTTTAGGACCCCTGATTCTGAGTCCATTACTCTGGGGAACAATAAAAGGTAATAAGCTCTAGATATAGAACTAAAACAAGAAAGGCTGCATTTGTGAGTATTTTTTATGAGACTGAAAGAAATTTTCAATTGTTTTGAAATTCTCAATTGTTTTCATCTTTCTCAACTTGGACTTAAGAGATGCTTAAATTATTTACAATAATTTTCAATTTATTTAAATTTCATTCAGTATCTCCTGTGTTATCTTTCTACAGGCCTCATAAGTGGACTGAATTTTTTATGAAATGCCAGTTCGTGGATAGTCTATATCTATCCTGTGCCTGAAATCTCAACCTACATAGTCATCTTTAAATACAGGGAAGCAACAGGTGAAATCCTTGCTATTGAGATGGGAAATGGCCAGGCACAGTGGCTCACGCCTGTAATCCCAGCACTTTGGGAGGCCAAGACAGGAGAATCACTTGAAGCCAGGTGTTTGAGAACAGACCGAACAACAAAGTGAGACCCCATCTCTACAAAATTTTTTCTTAATTAGTCAGGCACAATAGCATGTGTCTGTAGTCCCAGCCACTTGAGAAGTGCAGGTGGAAGGAACGCCTGACCCCAGGATTTGGACGCTGCAGTGAGCCATGATCGCACCACTGCATTCCAGCCTGGATGACAGGGGAAGACCCTCATTTCTTTAAAAAAAAAAAAAAAAGCGGGGGGACATATAATAAATCTGTTTTTAATTTAACTGCTTTTTAACTTAAAACACATGTTAAGAAAAACAAGAAATAATCTGTGTATTACTTAGTCCCCTATTTTTTTTTTTTAATTCTTCCTCAAGTTGACTTTTTTCTCTTTTTCCCCAAGGAAGCACAGTATTATTTTCTGTGATTCTTTTCCTTCTGTTCTGTATTCCTCAGTTGGCATTACATGTATCTCTGCCGGCAAATTCAAATTATTTTTTAAACCACTGGTGGTATAAACAAGCAGGCAAATTATATGTCTGAATATAGAAGTAAATCATGTAGAAATGAGTGAAAGAAAAATGACCTCTGAGCTTCAGAAATAAAGAGCGTACTGCAGGAAAGAGGTGAGAGAAGAACAAAATAGTAATGAAAATTTAAGAAAAATAAGAAGCAGATGAAGCTTTTAATTTTCTTTTATCATCTTCTCAATCACACATTCCTTACTCCTGCTATTGTAGTTGAACAAGTGATAGCCAAGTAAAAAGAATATTAGAAGAATATCTTCCTCACAAAAAGGCGGCAAACGGAAAAACACTGGCAGTTGGAAACTCAGTTTTTCCTGTGACCTGCAGAGAAACTGGCTTGTCAGCATTAAGGCCTCTTGAAGTTAGTGCAGGTACAATACAAATTTTTTTTTGTCAGCAAAACAAACCCTACTTTTAGCAGAGAAGATTATCTTTGCAGTTTGTTGAAACCCAATGGGAAATCAAAAATCTTCAACACATAATAGTTCTTACCTTCCAAAAGCATTTAAAAGAGCAACTATTTCCTGTCGGGTGAGCTGGAAGCCTTTAGATGGACTATTCTCTGGCAGCTTTTGGATTTCTTTTTCAGAGAATAATATCTTCAGGGCAGTTCCTAAACCCTGAGTCTAAAGAAAATACCAATAAACTCATAATTAACTTTATATAATAATAACTAGTATAAAGGCTTAAAGGAATATATAGCCACTGTTATGACAGTTAGAAAATTCATATGAACTGAGCTTTTCACAAAAATGTTACTATAGTTTCTACTTTCTCACAGGTTATGCATATGATAAACATCTGAGCTGTTAAGGAAACCTGAATAGTCTAACACTTAATTGAATACATATCATACTATTCCAAATTATTAAAATGCCTTTTTTAACCTTGAAAATATCATATTAGGATTACAATGTTCAATTTGTAACCATAAAGGATTTTTTACAGCTTTTAGCAATTCAAAACTCAGAGATTAATGATACCTACACTTAATAATTTCTCAATTATTAGCACTATAGAAAAAGACATTTGATTTCAGTGTAGCCTCCCTCCATTGTAATAATTCTGTCGCTTAATTTCCTATGAATTATCAGCTTTGTAAGAAAGAGAGAAAATATTCACCAATCCTTTGACACTGGCTTACACAGAGTAACAGACCTGTCATATGGAGCTTTCCTATTGTCACTAAGTGACCTTCTTTTGCTCATTTAAACAAATTCAATGACCAAGACTTGATATTTCAATCTTTTTATATAATTACATTTTACCTTTCTATATACATATGTAAAATACAAATATACTCGGTTCGTAATGACCACCAACTTCACAAATGAATCTGGTATCATACCAATAGAAACACAGACACAATAAAACTAAAATCACTAAAGAATAATATGAGAAACATCCTTTCACATACATGTAACACGTATACCTTAATAAATTTCATCAACAGAAAAAACACTTTGGATCTGCCTATTTCTAAATTCTAATTCAATGAACAATGAGGACATTTTAATAAAAAGCTTGCACTCAGTGGAAAAAATAAAGGTTAGCAATGGCTTCAAAAGAGAAGACAGTACATGTACCTGTAATTTTCCCCATAATCTGCATTTGTCACATCCAACACAGTCCATTATACGGGAGATATTCTTGAAATGTAATCGGAATTCCTCCTGGCAAGCAGAAAATTTTTCAGTCTAATTAGACTTTTAAAATTGAACTGCATTTGGCTAAATGATAAGTTTTGATGCTTATTAATAAAGCAGTTGTGTTTTTCATTTGAGAAGGAGTTTTGCTTTGTCGCCCAGGCTAGAGTGCAGTGGAGCAATCTTGGCTCACTGCAACCTCTACCTCCCAGGTTCAAGGGATTCTCCTGCCTCAGCCTCCCAAGTAGCTCAGATTACAGGCCATGCCACCATGTCCAGCTAATTTCTGTATTTTTAGTAGAGACGGGGTTTTGCCATGTTGGCCAGACTGGTCTTGAACTCCTGACCTCAAATGATCCACCCACCTCGACCTCCCAAAGTGCTAAGATTATGGTGTGAGCCACCATACCCAACCTGAGTTGTGTTTTGCAACAGTAAAGAAAAATATTTGAACTTATATAACATGGCACATAAAATACTGACATCAATGGAAATTACAAAATTCATTCTGCATATTAATTCAATAAACTTCACTTAGGAGCTACTTTATGCAAAGCACCAAAATATGCACTATGGGAGACACAAAAGTAAATAATACATGGTCTTTACTTTTAAGGAACTTAATTGCTGCTTCCATTTGTTATCTATATACAACCAACAATAAATATGTCTAGTGTATGTTTCACTTATTTTTGATTCTTTGCTTTGTGTAAGCGTATATCAGAAAGCTAGTCCTAGAACAATAATCAATTTTTGTATCACTCCTTAGTACCATACTATGTATGTTTGTCATGGTTGCTGAATCAACATGAATGGTAACAGGCCTGTGTGACACATATGGTCCCACAGTCCTCTATGTTTGCCAATGCAGTTTTTATGGAGATGCTTGCTGGATCCCTCTATTTTGCTGTAATAGTTTCCTACACTAGCCAGGCATGGTGGCTCACACCTGTAATCCCAGCACTGTGGGAGGCCAAGGTAGGTGGATCACTTGAGGTCAAAAGTTCGAGACCAGCCTAAATAACACAGTGAAACCTCATGTCTACTAAAAATACAAAATTAGCCAGGTGTGGTGGCATATGCCTGTAATCCCAGCTACTTGGGAGGCTGAGGCAGAAGGATAGCTTGAACCCGGGAGGCAGAGGTTGCAGTGAGCCAAGATCGCACCACTGCACTCCAGCCTGGGCAACAAGAGTGAAATTCTGTCTCAAAAAAGTTTCCTACACTGGGGAAATTCTCCTGCCTGTAAGCATTTGTGTGCAATATGCCTTTAAGGTTGGTCTCACCTTATCTGCGGATAAGATTGGTTAAGAGAAAATTTCCTCATTTGTTTCACATGGCAACTGTAGAAAATAAAAATCATTTTATTGCATTGAGGGAACTATTTTATTGCATGAAGCTGGAGGCAAGTAGCCTGAAAACTCTGGCAACCACAAGCCCTGACTAGCTGCCAAAGGGTTGAAAGGAATCAATACCTTTGCAAAGAAAGACAATATAAATAGAACACAAAAACTCCTGTGCTGGTCATATTCTCATGTAATATAAGTTCTTTGCGGCAGATGGAAAATGGACATAGGTTCTCCTTCATACATTCTTGACAAACAGCAAACACAGTCCCAGCATTGTGTAGTTAAAAACTTCTTGTGAGACTCTTAGGCTTTGCTTATCTCACTTTCCTCATCTACAAAAACATCCATAATTATAGTTGCCCTATTACACAAGATCATTCTGAAGATTGAAAGTAGAACATATGTGTCGATACTTAGAAAACAGGAAGCATTATAAAAATTCATTATCAAATGAATTATAAAATTCATTATACAAATGAATTAACATATTAAATACCAAAATGGCAATATACCTCTAAAACAACTGTAAAATAAAACAATCTTCCAACACTAAAATATAGTTGTGACTAAATTACTTATTTCAGAAATACCAGGAAAGTCTCACCAATGGAGAATCACTCAGTATTGATTTATTGGTTCCTATAGTACATCCACATCTCAAACATCTTGGGGTCAAATGTGTTTTAGAATTCAGTAGTTTTTAAATTTTAGAAATACAATACATGTACAATATATTATGAAACATCTCACCAGAGGGTGAGGAAACACCCTACAGTCAAATCCATTAATGTTTCTGTAGCAAAATATAAAAAATTCATACCAAGCAGAATTTGAGAAACAAAAAACCCCACAAAACTATGAGTATCTGCTATATTCTTACATCAGTTTAGGTCAGGTTTTGCTAAAAAATTACCTTGTACTAAACATAAGAAAATATTTTAGTTTTTGAAACTACCCGGATTTCAGAAGTGCATGTAAATGACTGTGAAGCTGTACTCAAGGATCATTTGTGGCCAGGTATGGTGGCTCGTGCCTGTAATCCTAGGTACTTGGGAGGCTGAGGTGGGAAGGCAGCTTGAGGCCAGGAGTTTGAGACCAGCCTGGGCAACACAGCGAGACCCCGTCTCAAAAAATAAATTTAAAACTAAAAAAAAAAAAAAAAAAGAGTATTTGCCAATTTCAAATACTTTTATAAACATTTTAAGGGTACAATGTGTTTCTTAATGTACTTTAAGCAAATGAAAATAAAGAACACCTAACATAAAGTTTGGTAATGTTCCGAAAACATTCTCCTTTTGATATCACAGGTTAACAGGTAGTTTTTACCTTTTAAGTTAGTCCAAAGGGACAACAACATAATAGTTTCAAAAACTGTAGCATTCTATAAAATAAACTTTAGAAAAATATGTTATTTATTGCCCTCAAAGTGGCTAAAAGCTCATGGTATTTTGAAAGCTGCATCAAAACAACAATATACACTGATTTTAAATAAAGAAAACTTTCCCTCAACTAGTATCTTTTAAAAAGACATTTATAAAGGTGTTATAGGACATACTAATGACCAACGATTCACTAAGCAGTTGGTCAGTAGGAACTGACAAAGAAATATGGAAAAGGCTTTTTGTACCATTTGTGGTAAAATCCAATCAGACCAACTTTGACAAGCTGGAAAACTGGAAAAGAAAATAGTTTGATGAACAGCGTTAAAACATCACCAGCAAGCTGCTCCTAACCCCATGTCCCAGTCAAGAACTTTTTACCTTTAGTGACTTGGCCCCTTTTTTGTCACCTGCAAACATGGATTTCTCATCAAAGTGCATGGGAAAGGACCTGATAAAATGATAGTATTGTAATAAGTTACACATGAAAAATCCACGTACTCTGTATCAGAAATCTGATAAAATTTTCTATCCTTACAAATATTTAAAATTCATTATTTACTCTGATTTAAGGTTTGGTAATGTAGAAAAGTGACAAACAGTTCACACATAAACTATTTCATAAAAGACTAAAGCAAGACACAGATGGCTGTTAAATTTGGTAATACTGTAATGTTTTAAATAAATGACATAATCTAAAAAATTAACTGAAAACAATCTATGTAAAAAATAGGCAATATTCTTTAAAAATTTAATATATAATTTACTTTAAACACTTCTTAATCTTTCTCCTCCATGCTTATTTTAAAAACCAGTAAACTTGAGTTTTCTTGACCAAGTGTTTTGTTTAAAAGGTTATATTCTAGAAGGTAAGGCCAATGTTTCCTTAGATATCCACCCCAATGCAAACACACGTATAATATCACCTAAATTTAAATATAGTAACTAGAGGCCAGGCACGATGGCTCACGCTTCTAATCTCAGTACTTTGGGAGGCAGAGGAGGGTGGATCACTTGAGGCCAGGAGCTTGAGACCAGCCTGTTCAACATGGTGAAACCCCATCTCTACTAAATACAAAAATTAGCTGAGTGTGATGGCACATACCTGTAATCTCAGTTACTCAGGAGGCTGAGGCACAAGAATTGCTTGAACCTGGGAGGCAGAGGCTGCAGTGAGCCAAGATCGTGCCGCTGCACTCCAGCCAGGGCAACAGAGCAAGCCTCTGTCTCAAAAATAAGTAAGTAAATAAAGTGACTAGAAGAATACAAAATTGGTAGAAAGACCATTAAAGTAGCACTCAGTTTTGATACTACATAAAATTTAGTGATATTTTAAAGCACTATTCTCAAGTGTGAAAATTTCTAGAAAAAAAAAAAACAGCCTTATTGATGCTTTTTCATCAACATTTTCAGAAATATTTCTAAATTCTGTTGTTCTATTGATCACTTTCCTTTTCTGTTCTACATCTCCCCTTGCTTAACTGTTAGGGGTCAGTTTTTGTGCTTTAAGTGCTACCTCATTTGAATACAGAGAGGAGAATTTCAAATCACGGATAGTCAATTCTTACTTTGTATCTTGAAAGATGTTCAGTAGAAGAGTTTTTGTGTCAGCATCTTCTTCTGCATTTCCAGTGTAAAGATCGACAATTGAGCGCTCAAAATATGGAGCCACCTTTGACAAAGCTCGAAGCTCAATCAAGTATAAAAAGTAAAGATTCTTGAGCCTTCTCGGACCTTCTCCCTTGGTTTCCACAGGGTCAAAGCGGCGTTTGAATTCTTTAATATTAGGTCCCCAACTGGGCTTACCCCAGGTTTCTAAAGAGAAAGAGAAATACATTACATTATTTTAATAAATAGGATTTTTTTTTCTGCTCTAAAGAATATGTATTCCCTCCAATAATTTTTACACTAATAGAAGGCAAAATCACTTAAAAATATGATTACCTTCCAAAAGATAATTTGCGCATAGATGTAAATTGATGCTAGCATGAAGTCCTGATATGAGCTTATAGAAGACTCTTTTCTCCAGACACAAACCTATTCAGAAAAATATTGAAAAAGAAATCACACCTATTTAGATATCAGAAATATTGACTCAAGGAGGTTTAGTATGTAAGCTTATTTTTGATTGAAGAACATTATAATAAATCAAGGAATAATATAAAACTGATTAGATCAAGATTTTTTCAATAGAAGGCAAAATAAGATTTTGGCTTCAGAATGAAGTTAACTGAATATGATGAGAACTTAATGCTGAAAAAAGCAGAAAAGTTTGAGCAACTGGGAGTCAAAACACTATGGATAAAGTTGGCAAGTTCCCATGTTACTCGGACAGCAACAGCACAGGTTTTCTTGTTGTTTAGGCTAAGAACTTACTAAAGCAAATGTAATTATAAAGTCACTGCTGGATTTTTTCCCCCCTTCCTTATATGTGTTATTTGCTAGCAGAGAAATAAGGGTTTTATTAACCTTCTGCCCTGGAATTGTCTAATTTTTTAACCATACGTTCTACTTGTAAGGAGCTGAAACTTGGAAAACAGAAATCCAGAAATTTCAACTAATTAAAAAAAAATACATGTTGACTATTTACTGCTTGGGTGGAATCATATCAGTGGAGTTCAGGAATAGAACAGAACGTTATTTGATGGAGCCTTAAGCCACACGGGCTTTTTTGCTGAGAACTTAAGAGGTCAAGAGAGCCGGTCATCCTATCCTAACCCCTGCTCCCATTTTAAAAGATCTTCTCTCATAATAGGAGGAATGCACATTGTGAATGTATTTAATGCCACTAAACAATAAACTTAAAAATGATTAAGATGGTAAATTCTATGTTATATATACCTCACCACAATAAAAAAAGTTCTTTAGAAAAGTAATATTCTTTACAGGAAATTTTTAAAATAAAAATGCAGAAAATTTTAAGAAGTCACTGGATACAGGGCCATTTGCTTTTCCCTCCTTCATCCAACAGGTTTTTAACACTTTCCCCATTCAGGGAAATGGGCTTTAACAGTGGAAAGTAAAATAGTATCATTTATATGCTGGGGGATTTTTTTTTTTAATATAAGAGTATTTATGTGGTTTTGTGTCTATTAAAATTTTTTAGCAATTCACTCTCTTTCTGTCCTATCACAGATGATTCTGAAGCACATGGTCTCTAATTGGAAAAAAATAATTCTTTTGAGATCTCGTTCCCTAATTGGGAATTCTTGCTAGAATATTCAAATTGTCATGGATGGGGACCAAAAGAAATTAAATTTTATTTTGTAGCTTCCTCCCTAAAAGTATATGGCAATTTTGAATGTTTATGATAACAATGGATACAAACAATATATTTAATACAACATTAAGTACTAACTTCTCTTCTACTAAAACTTTTCATCAAATCTATTATCAAGTAACAAAATATCAGATATGAAGTTCACTTTGTTTTCTTCCCGACCTCTCTCTCTAAGCGGTGCTTATGTCCAATAAAATGGATAAAGATTAGAGAAGGGACAGTAAGCAAAGCAAAACTCATGAAAATCCATATGCCTACAAACCAGGACCTGGAAAACTGGGAGGCAGTTATAATTTGCAAAGCCCACAAAGCCCTACACTGAAATGAGGCAGAGGATAAGTGAGGGGAGAGAAATAGAAATGTATTTCCACAAACTGTGAAAAACAGGTAACTTCAACCATATTAATAAAAAATAATGCACCAACTAAGCGCACCCAGACACACAACACACTTAGCAGGAAATTGCTGGAGAGCTTCTCCTGGCCTACATACAGTCTGTGCCAGGCTGCAGGGTATCTTTAATTACGGAGGTCCAGGCAAAAGCCTTCTCAATCTCACTCTGAAGTAACATCTGCAAAAGCTGACTTACCAAGGCAGAATCCACCAACTTCTAACAACATAGAGCAATTCAGTTACACAACTTAGAAAATGGTTCTCTTCTTCCTCTTTTTGATTTAATTTCATTAAAATTCATTTTCAGCACCTGAACTCTCAGAAAGGTGCTGCATTTACTGTAACAGTAACATTGGGCATTTGGACATGGATTCGTGGTTTCCAAAGGAACCTTTACAGACATCATCTACACTCACAGTGTAAGTTAGTAGGATTGCTATTGCTCCTCTCCACACTCCAGATGAGGAAACTGAATCTCTGAAAAGACTGAGTCAGTTGCCTATGAGGGAATGCTCTTTGGAACCACGGATCAATATTCAGGTACTCCCAACAGTAAGACTGGAAGAATGGTTGATATAGTATACATAGAATCCAACATTGTTTCTAAATTTCATTCTCATTACTAACACTCAGAGTCTCTGACTACCTCTTCTAGCCTAAATGCTACTTTCCACAATTTGTATCTTTAGAGTAGAGCTTATTAAACAAAGCTAAACATCTTCTACATAAGTGATTTTCTCATATAATTCCTAACAGAATTTGCACATCAATAATGTTCACCTTAATAATGGCCAATGTATGCACATAGTTCATTGCAAACAAAGAAATAGGCCAGGTGTGGTGGCTCACACCTGTTATCCCAGCACTTTGGGAGGCTGAGGTGGGCAGATCACTTGAGGCCTGGAGTTCAAACCAGCCTGGCCAACACGGCGAAACTCTACTGAAAATACAAAAATTAGCCAAGTGTGGTGCCAGGTGCCTGTAATCCCAGCTATTTGGGAGGCTGAGGCATGAGAATCACTTGAACCTGGGAAGCAGAGGTTGCAGTGAGCCGAGATGGTGCCACTGCACTCCAGCCTGGGCGACAGCGAGACTCTGACTCAAAAAAAAAAAAAAGAAGTAATATTCATAAGATAACACGACCAAATGACATGCATAAAATAGAATTAGTTTTACTCCATAGTACTCCTAAAAGGTTATGGCTATGAAATATCAATTTTCCTATGTCATTCAACTTGCTTATCTGTTACTAATATATTTTAATTTTTAATTTCATAAACTAATGGCAATTTGGTAAGGTAAATTTTTAAAAGCATTATATATCCAATTATTAACCTAAGTTATTAAAATCCTACAACATTTCACCTTTCCATTAATAGCATTTGATATTTACAACACTGGAAGTACAAGAATGCAAAAGCATATAATACATCAGGATCTATATTGCTTTATCTTTTAATTAGACAACGTTAGACTATATTAACATGGCAAACATGTTTTGAACCTTTTGAATTCATATTTATCTTCCATTAATTTTATATATAAAAAGTACTTCCTTCCAAAAGGGATGTCTCCACTTTTAAAATATTTTGCATTACTTGTTATTAGAGAAGTAGCTTGAATGAACATTATATACAGAACAGAAATAAGATTACGGAAACAGTTATGAAAACCTGATGACACTATTTGGCCTGTGTATTTATATAAACCTGGTTTTTAGCTGAGCACTATCTTCAAAATTTTCACATAATTTTATCCCAATGTTAACCTAAAACACATTTTTTTCAAACACTGTGAAAATTAGTTGACTAGGTAATAAAATCCTAGACCTTACAAAAATATGCTAAATAAATCAGTATTTTTTACAAAAAATCCAATAAATTTAGAACAGACTGTTTACCTTCTAGCCATGTGTAGAATGATTCTCCTGAGAAAGAAAGAAAAGTGGATTAAAATATTATATGGTCATTCATAAAGTAGAATAAATTAGGTTTATAAAATATTTCTGCAGGCTGCAGGGCATGGTGGCTCATGCCTGTAATCCTAGCACTTTGGGAGGCCGAGGTGGGCAGATCACTTGAGGACAGGAGTTCAAGACCAGCCTGGCCAACATGGCGCAACCCCATCTCTACTAAAAATACAAAAAATTAGCTGAGTATGGTGGTGCAGGCCTGTAATCCCAGCTACTAGGGAGGCTGAGGCAGGAGAATTGCTTGGACCCAGGAGGCTAAGGTTGCAGTGAGCCGAGATCATACCACTGCCCCCCAGCTTGGATGACAGAGTGAGACCCTGTCTCAAAAAAATAAATAAATAAAAAATAAAAATGACAGATTAAGTAATCTCTCTAAAATGTCTACTGCTTCAGGTAAAATAGAAAAACAGTCATATGGTTCTAGGAAATAAAGCCTACAAATAATTTAAGTAACTTTAAGTGAGTGTTTTTATAAATATTTTGACTATTAAATTTTTTAAGAAAACATTTCAGTCAAAATATTATGAGCTGGGGACAGTGGCTTGGACCTGTAGTTCCAGTTAACTCAGAAGGTTGAGGGGGAAGGATTGCTTGAGCCCAGGAGTTTGGATCCAACCTGGGCAACATAGCGAGATCCTGCCTCTTTAAAAAAAAAAAAAAAAAAGTATATAAATCTTATTCATTGAAGGTGTAAATATCTGAAAACATGGAACAAACATTTTAACAATCTCAAATTTGCTTTTCATAACAACCATAGTGCTTTTTAAATATTCCAAAAAAACAGTGAATTATAATTAACACAAACATCAAACTATTGATTATTCCACTTTTCCTAATCCAATAAAACTAAGAATATTTCCTTAATTTTCTTTCTTTTTTTTTTTTTTTTTCCGAGATGGAGTCTCACTCTGTCACCCAGGCTGGAGTGCAGTGGTGCAATCTTGGCTCACTGCAACCTCCACCTCCCGGGTTCACGCCATTCTCCTGTCTCAGCCTCCTGAGTACCTGGGATTACAGGCGCCCGCCACCACGCCCAGCTAATTTTTTTGTATTTTTAGTAGAGATTGGGTTTCACCGTGTTAGCCAGGATGGTCTCGATCTGCTGACCTCGTGATCCGCCCGCCTCGGCCTCCTAAAGTGCTGGGATTACAGACATGAGCCACCGCACCCAGCCGAATATTTCCTCAATTTTCTAAGACTAATAAGGTTTTAAGGGGCAGCTAAGAAAATCTCTTAATTTTCGATATAATTCTTCAGGAAAGTTAATACTAATATAACACAGAAGGGCTTGACTAATCTGTGTACTAAATGCTGAAGAACATTCCTGGGGTCGGGGAGATGCTGGTCAAGGGGTACAAAATTTCAGTTAAAGAAAAGGGGTAAGTTCAAGAGATTTATTGTAAAACATGGTGGCTGTAGTTAATTACAATGTACTGTATTCTTGAAAATTGTTGTGATTTAAAGTGTTTTCGCCAAAAAAATGTAAGTATGTGAGCTAATTAGCTCAATATACCCATTCCACAATGTATACATATTTCAAAACATGTTAAACATGATAAAAATATATAATTTTTATTTGTCAACTTAAAAAAAAAAGAACTATTCCTGGCCCTATAACCTTCTTCAGAGTGGGGGAAAAAGAAAGAAAAGAGAGCAGTCAATAAGGATCAAAATTGTTAATGCACTTCCTCAGTTACCTATTCTGTTTTTTGTTTTTTTTTTTTAAATTGAGAACGATAGAAATTATAGAAAAACCGAACACTCAAGATGAGCTGAGTAAGGAGTCTAGGGATAAATTAGATGGTGGGGAATTACTTTGCTTACTGAGAGTCTTCATATTTTGCACAACAATGAAAACATCTAGCAAATTAATTCATTCAACATATAGTAAGGATCACTTATCATTATATCACTTGTGATTCAGAAAGCCTCAGTGCCAACAGGAAAAGTCTAGTACCCAACGTACTAAAAAATATAACATATGGCCTCTATCAATCTAACTTAAACTATCACTGTATAGTCTTACCTACCGCTAAAAAGGGTCTCTTTACTGTCTCCCCAAACATGCTTGACTTTCTCAACTCCCAGCTTCATGCTGTTTCCTCCAACATGTACTATCCAATTCTATGGATCTAAATGTGTCCCATTATTCAAAATTCACCTCAAATGCTACCTCCTCCAGTAAGCTTTCCCACATCTCTCCCGTGAGATACGATCTCTTTCTCCTCTAAGGAGATATATATCATCTACCGTTTGTACCAGGTATGGAGTATTTCTTTACCTCATTACCATTGTTTATGTACAGTGCTTATCTTTCCTACTATCCTATATATCCTCAGCTCCTAGAGGGAAAGCACCATGTTTTAAATACTTTCCTACCCTGGACAATGCCCATCAGTGCCCCTGAACACAGACAGGTAAACATTCAGTTTAAATAATTATTTTGGCTATTTTGGGGGTATCTTTTAACCAGCATTCATTCAGTAATCAATTGTTTATAAACTGCTCGTCATCAAATTAAGTATTATATTGATACCTGAGATTAGAAATTTCAAAGTCAATAAGAAAATAAAGAGGTCACAAGACAAATTATCTGGTAAAACTACCTTAATTCTTTCTCCCCACTCCTCAGAACATATTCAAGTAAATTATATAATAACCAGAAAATGGGGAACTTGTAATGTGAACTGATTTACAAACTAAGCACTTAGGAAAAATGGTCTTTTTTTTTTTTTAACATAGGATAACTTTATATATATAAAATAATCTTTTTTTTTTTGGTCACTATTCATTAGTAGTTATTTTCTTAGAAAATAGGAATACTTTCTTTTGAATTAAAGGAAAAATCAAATTCTGATTGTTAAAAAAATTTCCTCCACACTTGAAGCAAACACAAACATGAGTTTTGCTCACCATCATCTTCGCCTAAAAGAGAGAATAATAGAAAAAATTTTAGAAAATGTCTTACATAGCTCAGATCCCAATACTACTTTTTGAGATTAAAACTGTTAAACTATTAATTATATTACGAACCTTGGTCACTGAGTAGACATCCTGCAAATGAGTCTCTTAATCAGAATATAGGCCAAAGAGTGTAAGATTTGCACATTTTGGCCAGGCGCGGTGGCTCACGCCTGTAATCCCAGCACTTTGGGAGGCCGAGGCGGGTGGATCACCTGAGGTCAGAAGTTCAAGACCAGCCTGGCCAACATGTGAAACCCTGTCTCTACTAAAAATACAAAAATTAGCCAGGTATGGCGGCATGCACCTGTAATCTCAGCTACTTGGGAGGCTGAGGCAGGAAAATCACTTGAACCCAGGAGACGGAGGTTTCAGTGAGCCAAGATCGTGCCATTGTGCTCCAGCCTGGGCAACAAGAGCAAAACTCCATCTAAAAAAAAGAAAGAAAGAAAGAAGCCTGGGCATGGTGGTTCAGGCTTGTAATCCCAGCACTTTGGGAGGACCAAGGGGTCAGGAGTTCAAGATCAGGTTGGCCAAGATGGTGAAACCCCATCTCTCCTAAAAATACAAAAAATTAGCCAGGCGTGGTGATGGGCGCCTTGTAATCCCAGCTACTCGGAGGCTGAGGCAGAGAACTGCTTGAACCCAGGAGGCAGAGGTTGCAATGAGCCAAGATCACACTACTGCACTCCAGCGTGGGTAACAGAGCGCAACTCTGTCTCAAGAAAAGAAAAGAAAAAAAAAGATTTGCACGTTTTAAAATACAATAAGTAATATCAGAAAGCAACTAAAAATAGTCATTAAGATCACTATTTTCAATAATTAATTACTATATAAAGTTGCTCCTTTAATCATTATGCACACAATCCTCTCTGAACACTCCTGTTTCCATCCTGGAATATTTTTTTCTTTTAAATTACTGCTCCTCAGCAGAGATAGGCCTTAATGACAGTACATCCCAAACTGTAATCAGTGAAACCCTTGGGCAAGGTGCTGCTTCCGGGAGGCCGAGAGGTGGGGAAGAGGCCAGAGGCTGGGCTCTAGGGCTACACGGCAGCTCTGCCTATCAGCTTTATTATGTGGGTTCTGAAGTGAGATTTCATTTTTGGACAAAAGTTCCTATTGCTCAAAACCTGTTAGAAAATAGTTGTATAAGCCTACGGGTTATGACTCAGAAACGTGGAAGAAAGAGTTAAGAAGATTAAAGAACTATTAATCAACCAATTTCAATGGAGATAGCATGTAAATAGCATGAGCAAGAGCTATTAATTACTACATAGAGTACTCCTGTAACAGCTAGGAACCATTCTCTTTACCTAGTCTTGTCTTCTTTCATATTTCATTTTTCTTCTTGTCTCCTCTTCCCTTCCTCTTTTTCTATGTAGTAGTTTCCTGTTTCTCATCTTTCCAGCATAAAATGTTATGTCTCCGATATATCACTAACATGCAAGTGAAGTGTTTCTTAGGACTTGATGGTTTTCTTAAGTGAAAAATTGTATTTTCTGCTTTAAAAGTATTAAGTGGCTGTAGGAAAGGTCTGGAAGAACACTTTTCAAACTCTGTACTATGGAATAGAAGAGCTTTCCCTTTTCACTTTATGTAACTATTATATTGTTTCAATTTTTTACAAAATGTTGTGGAATTAAAACCTTTAAGTTGAAAACAGAAAAGTTGTGAAGCAAAAGTAGTAAAAGAGACAAAGGATAAGAAGCCAGGCACATCTTTTTCAGGACCAACTTCCTTCTCCAGGCAGTTTCAATGTGAATTTGGGGAAAACGAGTATTTGCCACATTGTGATAGAGTGAGCATGAAAAAGCAGTCTATGCAGTCAACCCTTCCAAGTCTATTTGGTTCTCAGAAAGGTCTAAAGATACAAATTTAGATCAGGAAATCAAATTTCTTAAAACACTCCCTGTCTAAAGGAAACACTGGAATAGAGGTCAATTACAGAGCTGCTTCCAGGGTTTGGCTCCTCATTGAGAACAGAATGAGGATGTACCCACTGATGACAGTAAAGCTGTTCTATTGAAATATAATGCCAGACACAGGTGTTAACTTAAAATGTTTCTAATAGACACATTTTTAAAATTCAAAAGTATACACACACTACAACAAAAATATGTTACATGACACATAGGTTGTAGTAGTCTTACTACTTACCAAAACAATAAGGTTCTGTCCAACACCAATACAATTTTTACATCTAAATAAGCTAAGATTAAATAAAATTTAAAATTCAGTTTCACACTAGCCAAATTTTGTGTTCAACAGTCCCATGTGGAAACTGGTTACTTTATTGGACAGTACAGATATAGAGCACTGCTAAAGGCAGCCTACGTTTCTCATTTTTCCTACTCAAAGTGTGGCACATGAGTCGGCACCTGAGGCAGTACCTGGGAGCATGTTAGACTGTTGGGCCTCATACAAGATCTACAGAATCAGAACCTGCATGTTACCAAGGCTCCTAGGTGATTTGTACGCACGCTGAAGTCTTAGAAGCAGTTACGAGACATTGGCTGTCAAACTTGGTTGCATACTGGAACCATCTGTAGAGTTTAAAAAATACCAATGCCTGCTGTTCTCATTCCAAGGATTCTGACTTAATTAGTATAGTGTAGGGCCTGAGCATCCAGATTTTTCAAGAAGTCCCCAGGAAATCTTTGATATATATTTCTTACTCACATATTTTAATTATTTTACATAAACTTCCTAGTTCAGGGTCTGGCACAGAGCAGGCACACAATAAATGACAGTAATTATGTAAAACAACATGCCTAGAAATCTCAAGACTTGACTATGAATTAATCTTATACTTTTTGTTCATCATTCAAATTAAACAAAATATAAAAATGAAACCTTTTTCAATATAAAGTTTAGTTATAAAGACATTTTATAAACAATGAAAAGCGTGAAAATGTACATAGGAAAAACCTACCTCGGCTAGGTGCCAGAGGATTTAAAGGACGATAAACAGATCGAGGCCTGAAAAAGAAAGCATAATACCCGAACATAAAATGGTTTAATTTTTATAGTGTATAATTTTATTCCAGTAGAAACAAATACTCCCCTCCCCACCCTCTCTCTTTTTTTTTTTTCAGACAAGAGTTTCACTTAGTCACCCAGGCTGGAGTGCAATGGCGTGATCTCTGCTCACTGTAACCTCCGCCTCCCGGGTTCAAGCGATTCTCCTGCCTCAGCCTCCCAAGTAGCTGGGATTACAGGCACCTGCCATCACGCCCAGCTAATTTTTTTGTATTTTTAGTAGAGATGGGGTTTCACCATGTTGGCCAGGCTGGTCTTGAACTCCTGACCTCAGGTGATCCACCC